CAGCTCAGACCTGACTGAACGTACAAAGTCATTTCTGCACCAAATATGTTTTTCAAGAATCTGAAAAGAAGTCTAAAGGAATCACAAAGGCTTTCAGTGTTATTGTTTTGTCTGTGTTCCGCCTACCTAACTGGTCACTTCCTTTACTTCCTGTCACATGACCCATGTTTGCCAATATATAAACACAAAATTTAACAAAACAATGGTGACAGCTCTTTCCCTGCTTAGCTTCTGTTTTTTAAAGAAGGAATTACATTTTCAGTCCTCCCAGCTTTATTATGTGTCATATCCGTTCCTTTTTGATGATGAATGAGCCTAGTGCTACATGTCAGAAGGAGAAATATGTCAAGAATGTCGATAGAGAAGCATGTTTCAACTTGTGCAGAGTGATTATATGACCTTGTTAGCTTTCCACTACCTCCTTTTAGCACTGCTTACACCCATTTTGACCTTAACCTTCTTAATATCAATGAATAAATGATCAATTAGCAGAGTATCTATGAGACTGGAACTTCTTTTAAATGAAAGATCAGAATCCCTAAAAACCTGACAATGCTATGAAGACAGAGATGAAAGCAGATATTTCATCTCTGGAAAATTTGACTAAATAAACACAACAGTTTTTTATTCACTCTGTCACATTGTCAGAGAAAAAGGCCAGAAAAAGTCAGCTTCGATTACCCAAATTATTTCGGTTAGCTAAATTCCAGAATAATGAAAGAAGGAATTTTAAAATGTTCTTAAAATTCATACAATTACGCACATTTAATTTGTATTTTTCAGATGTAGTTTTTTTGGGTGTCCTTTTTACAAGCTTAGCACAATAATTTTCTCTAATTTCATTTCATTCATCCTGACAGTAACAAGGTCAGGGTTTTAAAGATGCCTTTTCATACACACTTTTAGATTTGTTGCCATTTTTTTTGTATGAACTTAGATCAGGGCTTTTGTTGTCCAGTCCAAGTGTTGACTTTGTTGAACCACTTTGTTGCTTAAATGGTTTCATAGGCCTACTGCCATTGTCAATTTGGAAACAAATCAAATCAAATTTTATTTGTATAGCACAGGTATGCTCGGTACGTCAATCTCTGGAAGATTTTGAGTCGATCTGGGCAGTAGGTGACCAACTGAAAGCCGCTTTGAGGCCGAGATCAGCAGGTCTCTTGCTGAGGCTTATCAAAAATATTCACTAAGATCCAAAACATTTGTGACTTTATTAAAGACTAGAAAAAAAGAACTCGACAAAACGTGTTAAAATTAACGACCCATTAAAAAATAATAATCGCAGTAATTAATTCAGCGAGGTGTTGTGCAATTCTGTGCATTTTATTTCCTTTAAAAAAAGGCAACAAAAAGGTAGACTCAGGCAATTGCCACGGCAATGGGTGTGCTGTGCTGACAGATTGGAGTGGTTTTGACTCGTTCGGCTGTTCGGGGTTATTTTGCCTTTGCTGTAATTTTACCATTACAGCCGCTGTAATTTCTGAGCGTTGAATAAACGACAAAATTGGATTAATTACCTTGGTTGTTTGCGAGTACACGTCATTCACAACAAACACCAAATAGGACAAATATATTTAATGGAGTATTTAACAAACAAATGGCTCCTACAGCGAAAATTATGTGAAATTAAATTAATTGTCCAATATAAAAAAATAGTTTGGTGTCTTGCCTTGAGCATAGAGTCTGAGAAGAGCTTTCCTGGCTTTTCCTCTATCAAACATGTTGCTAATTATTTTCATCTTTTATTTAGTGGAAATATTGATATTGATGAGACTTTCTCCAAAATGACAACTGTATAGAATGTTGAATTATTGGAAGATTGGAACATTTCAATGGATGAGGTCATTTCACCTTTTCATAACTTTGTGGAGTTAGTCGATTCATACCACATGTTTTCAAGAGCGAAGAACCACTGGGATCTTTTTTAACTGCCGACAATTTAAAGCAATTTTCTATGTTCTACAAATAGTCTGCTGCAAGGAGATTTTATGACTTCAGTAAATATCTACCATCAGGAATCATGACTTCTCAAGAATCAACTGTTTAAAATAGGGATCAGAACCAAAATAAATGGAAAAAGGCGTAAAACACTTCTTTTCGAATGTGCAGTCAAAGTCAGATCTATTCAACCTTCAGGATGATTTAAAGTACAATGTAAATTTGTAGAACAGTTAGAACTCAGTGGAATTGGGGAGGTGCAGCGATTTGTGTTGTGTTTAAGAGTTTAATGTTGTTTAAGATATGAGCTGTTTGAGACTCTAAAAGTTCTGATTTTTGGTGGTTTGCTTTCTCTAATTTCTGCCCTCTTCCTGACAATGCAACAACAAGGCTCCTGAATTTGGCAGCTAGAAATCATCATCTCATCGCTGTTGGTTCATTTATGTGCTTTCTGATAAACATTAGATAGAAATATTTTTGGGTCTGGTGTTTAATTGAAAGTTTAAACTGTTTCACAGCTTTATACACATTAAGTTCTCCTTTTGTTCGTTTGTTGATTGTTTCTCCTAGCAGTTCCTGAATTTTAGTGATTGTCCTGCTTTTGAGCAACAGCATCAACCTAAACTTAACGTTATAACTCCATTGTTTCTATTTTCATACACGATTGAAAAAAGACAGGCTATAAGAGCATTTCTGTGCAGCCAAAGTTCAATTGGGGATTGAATAGATGCACAAGATGTGACAGGTACAAACAAATCTTTTTATCCAACCCTGCCCTGAGGACATGGATAGTCAGACTGAATATGAATACAATGCTGGAACACCTTTCTTTGACACCCTCTGCTGGACAAAAGGTTGCATCACCAACCACTGAGCCTGATGACCTTCAGCTGCCTTTTCTTTTGTGCCCTCATTTAAATTCAGGCAGCGAATAGCCACTGTAGCGCCGGTTCTCCTAATTATTTTGGCCAACCAATGTTTTACCATTTTTCTGATGTTGTGTGTGTGTGTCTGTGTTTTTGTCTGTGGTCCATCCCTGTGCATGATGAGGCTCTATGTCTCAACCTGCACTGATTTCATGCCAGTATTGATTCTGTTTTACAGTGCATTCCTGAGGGCAGGACATCATAGCAGATGTAGCTCACGAGACAGGACAGGCATATTCCATTTTATCCCTCCCCCCTCCCGCTCTTCCTGTATCATCAAGCCTCCACTGTCTTCTTCAATCCTTTTTTTTGACCTTTAGACATGAAGGACTAAGTACTTTAGCTTATGTGGGAATATGGCTGCTCTCCAGACTGCCTGTGTTTGTAGTCTTTGACTGTTAAGCCTCCTTTGTCAGTTACTGGTGACGGTGTTACTAGAAGGGCTCGTCCTGATAAACATATTGAATAATGCACATATCATTTTGTAAACAGTAGCAAAATATTTTGCAGTTTGCTGTGCTCTGAAAATGTCAGCTTAGCTCAGGAACTTCCTGCTACAACCGTTGTTTTTAGTTCACATGTTGCCCTGGCTTCATGGGAAATTAGAAGCAGGAAATGATGTCATCCAAGCCTCTTAAGAGTCTCTGGGATCTAGAGACCCTGTAGTAGGTGGAGATATCGCAGAAGAAAATTGTTAGTGTTAGTGGAAAAAGGCAGGAAATAAAAAGCAGAGGAATTGACTATTCTTATGAGGACATTGGGCTGCTTTTGTTCAGTCTTTTATGTAATACCTCTGGCACCCTCATCATAAAAAGAATTACCTTTCACCCTCTTTACTCCACACTTGGATACTCACAAACTCACATTCGTTTACCATCCAACAGCCCTGTTGGCTGTGATTCTGGTCCTCAGCAGGACTGCAGTGACATGAAAAAGATTTGGGGGGACACACTGCGAGCGCCTCGGATTAGCTCCGTCTGCCTGTGTGCACTGTTGTGTTTTACAGCCAACACCAAACATGTTTGTGTACTAATTAATCTCTTGATTAAATTCTGCACAGATGAATAGTGGGGCTTTGTTCCCACACTGACGGGAGCCTAGGCTTTTGTTTTTTGGTCTGAACGTGAAAGCACAGTTGGCAATTACACATGCCCCAACACTGTGATGAAGTGCTTTTTAAATATTAGCGTGGTGATAATATGCCTTTTTTTTTTTGTGATATTTTAGATGCAACTCTGTACTGAGCGTAATTCGGAATTATTTGCAGAAGGAGCTTTGTGAGGCATAAACTCATACTGGGATACAAAATGTAAATATAAAAAAGTTATGACTTAAATTTAGAGTTTCATGTGTCTACAAAATGTAAAAAGGCTATATACAGATGTGGTGGAATTATTTCTCCCGAATCTTGTGAATGTGATTTAATTTACGTTTTCATAAAGATTTCATTACCGTGAGATTAATAAAATCTTTATGGGAAATGCAGTTTTATCTGAAAACTTTGATTCATGATCCATGATGTGAGTATTACCAAAGTAACTTTTGTCAACATTATTAGAGCATATTAAGCAGTATGAGTCACTGACTTTGTTTAGACCGCTTGTGGCAAGTCATAAATGTAAAACTTCAAAAAAAATTGTTTTTGAATTTTTTTGTGGGTTACCAAAACAAACTTGAGAAAAAATTGCTCACACATCTGTAACCCATTTCAAAGGAGTTCGTGCCAAGAGTTTATGAGTTTTTGAATCTTTTTAAAATTCTGTGGAAAAAGTTGAGGATTTCCTGCCATCTGTCCTTGTTTTGCCTCTCACTGTAGATTTGGGATTTTAACCTGATTTTAACTTTTTTAAAAAGTCAACCAATCTGACAGTGAGTAAATAAACAACTGGTGTGGCATGTCGTCGTCCCTTCAGTTTTCTCATAACATCCGTTCATCTCGGCTCCCCACCCCAGCCATCCGACTGTCTCATCCCTGTTTTTGCATTCTCTGACTCACTGAGGGCAACATCTGTGCTGTTTTAGATTTACATGCCAGTGAGTCCAATCTGCTGCATGTGTCAGAGTGGATTCTCGCTCCCATTGTGTGGGTGAAGCATCACAAAGAAACCAAGGTCAAAGTCTCCTTGTTGTCCAGTATGCTGGTGGGCTTGGCTGACATGTGAAGTAGGCATCCAGTAACTGATGGTCTGCAACCTTGAGGGGTGCAGCCTATGTGAACGTCAGCTGAAATGAGTCATTTCCTGCATGGATACAAAGAAGATGTGGACTTTCTTCAAGGAGCTTGAGTGGGAGAGAGGGGATTGGGATGTTCCTGTCGATGGATGAAAGAAAGTGTGCGAAGGATTGTTTTTGTTTTACAGAAAGAGGGAGAAAAGAGAAAAGATGAGGGGTACCACAAGAGGGAAAAATATAGTTTGGTCGTGACAGTAAAGGTTAAAAAGGAGTTTTCGCTATGTGAATAAAAGGGAAGAAAGAAAGAGCTAGATGACTTGCAGAAATTATTTCTGAAACATAAGTGAAAAGAAGAAGGAAGAGGTCAGAGAAGCGTATAAATAGAGAGATATTGTATGTGCCGTCCAACGCAGATGAAAGTTTGAGAGAGGAGGTTGAGTAGAAAATTAGAGGGAAGGGAAAACCTGCATGGAGCAGCCTGAAGAAACGGAGGCAGAGCTGTAAACACATGGGTTGGAAAGCCAAGGAGGAAGAAAACACTGAACTGTCGCCGCTGTTTGATGGAAAGCTGCACAACACAGCAGATAGATGTTTCCTCGCATGGAGATGAAACTTCAGCTGGAACAAAGAAAACATAGGAGCTTGTCATTCCCCTCAAGATGAAGTCTTCCAGTAAGTCTTGATTGGAAAATAGAGTTGAGCCTCATTGGATATTTGATTTTTCTCTACTTTCAGAGAGCTACAATAAGCTGCAATATTTTGTCCCCACCTTTACTTCGCATGTGATTTAGAGAGAAGAGTTATTCAAAGAATGTTGGAAGAGGGATGTAATTGCTAGATTGTGGCGACAGTGTCATTTCCTCTGACCGTTCTCATCTCTGATGGTGAGGGACGGAGCCTTTTTATTGCTCCGCTGAACTTTGCCAACACCTCCAAAGTCTAGTGAGTGAAGAAAGTGAGAATGAATGAGTGGGAACTTGACGGAGAAACAAGTTATTTATAGTAGTCAACTTTGTTTGGACAAATACAAACTTTATTTTCTCCACATATTTGTCCTCAGACAGCCTCTACAGTCTGTGCTGGTACTCATTCACATTCATATTCTTTCCAATCCCATGCATTAAGGTGCTGTAAGCATTCTTACAAACAATGCCTGTTGTTGGAAATGTATTTGATTCTTGGCACAAGCTTCTTTTGGTTTTCTTTGTCAGCACAAGGAGCGGCTTTAATAAGTGTCTGCTCATAAAGAAAACGTATGTAAACACACCCAGATTTCTCTGCTCCCAGTTAAGCAGTGTGTGTGATACATATGCCAGCGGAAAAAGCAGTAAAACAAAAGCCTGTAAAAAGTTTCATGCTTGCTAGGCACCCTATGTCTGCTTTGGTGCAATGTGTTATGCCTGGTACATTTATCTGAAAACAGCCAAAGGAAATATGCATAAGTTACATTGATAAAGTGAAATTGTGCTACCAGCACACTTAAGAAAATGCTTGTCTTTTTACTGGCAGATTTCCAGTTTTCCCAGTCTCATCGTTCCATTAATTTCCCAAAGGAAAAAAAAAGCATCTTAGAAATGTTCTTTCCTTTAGTAAAAGCATAATTTCCAAGAAGGATATCACGCATAAATACAGTGCAACGTCTTTGACTTGATTTATGTCGTTTAGTCATACAGTGTCTAGTAAAAGCATTTACATTCCTTGAACTTTGTCATATGTTCTCCAACCAGCTGCCCTTAGAAGTCACACAATTAGCAAACAGCGTTTCTGCATGGGTAGTTTTTTTCTCACGTGTACCAAAATGGTGTTTTGGTCAGAATAGATAAAAAAAAAAAAAATTACTCAATTACCTTTTGACTAATTTGTAAAACTCTGTGTGAATTCTAACACTGTGTTTCAGGGCGAAGAGACCAGCCACACTGTGAAGCACGGTGGTGGTAGTATCATGGTATTCTTCAATCAGAAAAAAATTGGTGGGAAGGCCGATGTTCATAGAAAGTTTCCATCCAATCTGTCTGATCTTGAATTAGTAGAATCAACAAAAATAGTCCTCTCTGGATGTAAAAAGCTGGTAGAGGCAAAGCTAAAAACATCTGCAACTGCAATGGAAGCGAAAAGTTTTTTCAGCTTCCCTGTGTATCAACTCAGGGGGACACAACAATTTTCCTTTCATTAAAAAAAAGTCTTAGACCATGTGTCCATTTTCTGACACATAAAAAGTTCGTTGTGTTTGAAATCTCTACTCAATTAAGGCAGGTTTGTGGTATCAATGTGACAAAATCTGAAATGAAAAAATCTCATTGTGACTATGTCTGATTTATCTTTCTAATGTTTTTTGTGTCTTATAGAGATTGAGGCAAAGGAGGCTTGTGATTGGCTTCGAGCAGCAGGGTTTCCACAATATGCCCAACTCTACGAAGGTAAGACAATCCAGTTGCTGTATTTAACACGCAAACTTCATTCTCTAGTTATCTTCTTTGACTTTTCCTACTTTCTCTTTCTGTCTTATTTTTCCATCGTCGTGACTCTTTCTCTTTTCCTGCTTCCCCAAACTTTACATCCCCGTCTTCTGTGCCGATGCATTCTATTTCAAGGCTTCGGTTCCTCTAGAGGGAGGGGTCATGGGAAAGGCCTTGTTATCTCTGCTGGGACTCTCATAGCTCCTCTTTCTCCCTCATTTCTCCCCCGTTCTTAAGATCACCAACCATTTCCTTTCGAAGCCCTCCCCCCTCAATCCGCTCTAACTAAACCTGCCATGTCTTACTTTTATGCTATTTGAATTTCTTTTCTTTTCTTTTCATTGTTCCTTCTTGTGTCTCTGTGCCTTGTCTAGCAAGCCTGCAGGTGTTTGCTCATATGATCATCATTTGGTCTTATGGGGTTGAAGCACAAATGCAAACTGCCTTCGATAGTGAAAGAAGACGATTTTATAACAAAACAATCCTTCTTTAGAAATATTGGCAAACACACACTGGTTCTCTGAGAAAGGTTCAGAGATTTCTAGAAAGTCAGGTTATTGATGCCGCAGATGAGTCCCCTCAATAAACAATTTGAATTGTGTTACGCTTAAGTTTTATTACACTTCAGACGCGGATGACAAGGGCTTACTTTGGAGACGGCAGCTGTGGCAGACTTCTCAAGCTCCATAGAGAACGCTGCTATGTGTCATGTGTCAGTCATTAGCTAACAAGTCTTCCCCCTCTTCTCTTTGTTGCTGTCTCTGTCTCTTATTTCCCAGATTCCCAGTTTCCAATCAATATTTCCGCGGTGAAAAGGGACCATGACTTTTTGGACCGAGATCTAGTCGAACCTCTGTGTCGGTAAGGAGGATTTTTCTCTGTAAATTCCTTCTCTGGTCATCCTGTCTGGTGTGCTGACTTTTCCTTGTGGACTCATTAGTTGTCTGACCCTTACCCTTAATGAAGTCCCCATCCACGTCTCCCTCTGGGACTTCCAGGCTTTGATCTGGCCACCTCCCCTTCTGTCTGCCATGCTCTGATCTCCCATTCAAAGAGAAGAGACCCCTCAGGGGGCAAATACAGAGAGGTGTGTTTGGGTGATGGTAATAGGGAACTGAGAGAGGGAACTCCAAAGTTCTGCTGTAAATGGATTTGAACCATTTTCTCAATTTTTTGATCTTGCCAGTCACATTACCCTATTCCTTAAAAAGTTCTTGTGCATATTTACAAAATGTTAACTTAGTTTTGCACTGCTGCCTCTTCATCTCTCTTGAGCTGCAGTAACTTGTACAAGTTCACTCTTTAGTCCTGTTTGGATTACAGAATAGAACTTAAATGGGTTTTGTTGGGATTTTATGATCGATAAACACAAAGTGGCACAAAGTGGAAAGAAAATAATGTGTGGTTTTCAGCTTGTTTTAAATTAAAAATGTGAAATATTTGACATGTCGTGGTCTTGATCTACCCTAAACCTAAAACAGGCAGACTAGATGGACTGTCTGTGAAACTCAATTTTCAAGTCTTGCCATAAATTCTGATTTGATTTTAGGTGCATACTTTGACTAAGTAATTCTGACTCTGGCTGTAAACTTAGCATCATTGTATTGCTGAAAGGCCAACCTTTGCCAGAGTTCATCCAACATATGATCAACTCACAGCTTTAAGGGACTGTGTTTTCACTGTGATGTACAGTGTTTGTTATTCACTATTTTTTTTTGTCTATAACATTTTGGTTTAATCTGACCTTCTGACACAAGTTCTCTGTGTCCCACACACTTCTCATTCTTTTCTTTTATCTTACATTAAAGCATCCTGAAACCTGAACTGTGAATGTTGAATGTAACAGCTATTATTAATATTATTTCATCATAAATGAATCATAAATAATAATTAATCAAAATACTTCTTTGTACTTCTCTTAATCCTACCCACAATTCCTTGATCTGATGCTGTCTGTTTTCTAATGTATTGCATCAAACCTCTGAGGCCTTCACAAAATATTTATACTGACATTATATTGCATACAGATGGACTCTATTTACTGCTCAAAACAGACAATCACACAACATTTAACTTAGGGGTGTTTGAGTAAAGAAAGCTGAATATACATGCACCACAATTTATTTTTTTTAAAAAATTATTTAAAGCCATGGATTATTGTGTGTAGCCCATAACATAAATTCTCCTGACGATGTATTAAAGTTTATAGTTGTAGTACTGTAAGTAAATTCAGCAAATATGAATGTATGTCACAAATAATTGAGGCGCTCTCCACAAAGATAAAGATCAGTTTTAGTCGAAGTTGGAGAGGGAGAAGAGTCAGAGTAAAACTTCTGCTGAAGACATTGTTAGACAGTGGAATGAGAGATTCAGTGTGGGGTCAGAAAAGATTAAAGAGAAAAATGAAAAGGGTTGTCTGCCAGTGACTGATCAGACTCTGGGGGAAAATAGGAGCGTGGAAGTAAAAAGCAATATCATAGAGTGAAAGTGAGTGTTATTACAGTGCAGGATAGATAGATACAGCAACAATAGGTTGTGCTTTAGTGACTCTGTCTTTGTGTGTTTGTTGCAGACGCCTCAATACTCTGAACAAGTGTGCATCCATGAAGCTCGATGTAAGCCACCCCAAGAAGAAGGTAAGCAAAACTTTGCAGCATAACACTCATTCAGCATTCAGATGAGTTTCATTTCAGATTTAAAGTAAGTTTTGAAAATGGGACATTAAACATACTTTTCACAAAGCCCAAATTTCTGTATTAAAATGTTTTTATTAATTGTCTGAAAACCATCATAGCTAACAGATTGAAGACTTGAAAGCATCTGTCTGTATAAACATTCTATCGATTTAGTTACTGAAATAAATCCTAATATATTAAATGTTTTCGCTTATCAAACTTCTCAAGCGTTCATCCTTCTTTATCCAAACATTGAACAGATTTTTTGTAGAAAAGGTTTTACCTGTTTTATTAAATAAAGGTTAACTTTTGATGAGCAAGGGAGAGGAAAAAAAATGCTCCTTCTTGATTGCAGCTTGGAGTGGTTAATCTTCATCCTGTCAGAGCTGTCACCAGGACTCTTGTATCCTAATTTCTGATCAAGTGTGTGCCTACGTTTTGGGGCTCGATTGCAAAAGTATCATTTTAAAAGGAGACAACCACTGCAGCTCTGATTAGGGGTGCTTCCATTGTGGCTGATTATAGCAGCAAGTGTGCTTCCTCTGATACTTAGTCAGCTGCTGATCCTTAAGAATATTTTTATATTCCCTCTCTTTTAGTTTTTTCAGTTCCTTTTATTCGTCTTCACCAGGCACTGCGATAAAGACATGCTGACAGAAACAGCTGAGTTATTTAAGGATTCAGGCAGACTAAACTGCAGCTGTGCTCAGCTGTTATAATAACAGTCAAGGTAGATACATTTTAGGGGTTTACATATTTTGGATAGGTTTTTGCAATTTATTCATATAATTTAAGCTTTGGCATATATTGTTATTCCACAAAACATTGAATATATTTAATTTGAATTTTATGTCATTTTTTGGTGCAAAATTGCACATAATTGTGAAATGGAAAACAATGATGCATAGTTTATGCAATTCTTCACAAATAAGAATTTAAATGTGGTGTGGTCTGAGGAAAGGAGGCCAAAATCCAACATTTTGATGAATCTGCTGAAGAGCAAAGCATTATGATGGGAGCTCCACCATATGGATAATTTTCTTCAGCATGGAGAGAAAACTAGTCAGAACTGAAAATAAGATCAACTGAGCTAAATGCAGGATGAACCTGTAAAGAACATGGACTCAAAAACTTGAGTCTGGAGAGGAGTTTCAAAGTATAATGTGGTAGAATGGTCCAGTCAAAGGCCAGACCCAAATCCAATTCAGAATCTATGGCAAGAAATAACAACAGTACTGTTCAAATAGTCTATCCAATCTGACTGAGCTTGATCTATTTAGCATAGAAAAATGTTTTTGTAATGTGCTAACTATTTATAAATGAGGAAATGATTGTTTTTTTTTTTATTTTTGTTATAACTCTAGAACAGGACTTATAATCCCAGGCCTTTGTTCCAGGTCACTTCGGCCAAAAGCATTTTCCTTTAAATGAGGAGAGGAATTGAAATTTTGTATTCTTCTGTTGCATTCTGTGTAAGGAGATGACTTTGCAGTTCAATTTTAATTTCTTCACCACAGTAGGGAGGAAGTGGGTTTGGTCCACTTCCAGAAAAACTCTTATGCTGCTTTTCTTGCTCTCAGTCACCAAAAAATAAAAAAAATAAAAAAATTACTATTACTACTACTATTTGAGAAATTCTGATGGTGAAGGATTGTTTTTATAATCCTTTAAACTGACACATTTTCTTAGTAGTAACATCCTAATATGTTACATTAAAGAACACTTGGTATTAATTTGGGTGTATTTTTTTAATCTATTACGCTGTCTTTCTATAGAGTGATGACTCTGATGAAGATGATCCTTTGGCTATCAGTAAGAGGTGGACATTTGAGTGGAACAGCCGCCGCTGGTCACGTCTGCAGGACTTTCTATTGGACAGCACTAATGAGAGCAGCCCAACGGGTCAAGGCGAGGGTTTGCGCAGCACAGTGAGCAGTGAGAGCGTACTGACTGACCTGAGTGAGCAGGAAATCACGGAGATCTCCTCACTCCACAGTGAGGACTCGGCCTCCGCAATGCCTGACTCTATATCCATGGCGTCCCTCTATGCTTCCTATCAACCACCGAGGGAACTTCCTCATTACAACTCCCTTCCCATTAAAAGCAGCCGCCATGGGCAAGGAGGAAAGAGTAAAGCCAAAGAGTTTCTACGCAAAATGGAGCTGATGCGTACCTGGGGGCCATCGACAAGGAGGAAAAGCTCAAATCGGAGACCGCAGCTGGTCATCAGTGAGCCGGTGTTACAGGGGGAGGAGCCTCATGCGCTTCAAATGCTTCAGTGTACTCCCATCAGCCAATTAGAAAACAGCCCAAAACACAACCATCAAACAGATGGCGATGATCCCCCTGTTTCTGACAACAAAACATCTAAAGTCCAGATCATGCTAAATGTGAGTCCAAGCAAAGAGACTGTAGCGCTGATTGTTCAGGAGCCTGCATGTACAAAACCGCGCACTGCCAGCAAGAGAAGCAGCATGTACCTGGAGGATATGGAGTTGCCTTCTCAGGGTAAGAGGACTGACGGTCAGAACCAGTTTGGCAGAAACCAATTTCGCTCATATGAAAACCTCCTCATTCACATCCCCAAAGACCACAAGCCAGGCACTTTTCCCAAAGCTCTGTCCATTGAAAGTCTGGCACCTTCCCCCGGTGACAGGAACAATAATCCCCAGTCACACAGCCAAACTTCCCCAAATGAAAATGGCCTGGGCGAACCTTTATCTAAACCTGCCTGCCCTGGAGCTCCGAGAGGCAGCAGGGTGAGTGTTTACGACAACGTGCCAGGCTCCCACCTTTATGCCAGCACAGGGGACCTTCTAGACTTTGAAAAGGAGGACAACCTGTTTCCTCACTTAGACGACATCATCCAGCACGTCAGTGGCTTGCAGCAGATTGTAGACCACTGGAGCCGCAGTGTTTTGCCCGAGGGGGAGGCACTGGAGGGAGTAGAGCGAGGGGAGGGCAGGGCCACCCCCAGCGAAGGTGAGAGAGACGGGGTCTCCCTAAATGACACCGATTCAACAGGGACCAGTCGGGAGAGGCGGGACTCTGGAGTTGGGGCCTCGCTCACAAGACCTCGGTAAGCAGCTGCACACACATTTATTAGATAATTATGGTTGATTGCTTCTTGGGTCTTGTTTTTATAGTTTGGCTTGAACTTTTATTGGTTATAAGAACTGTGGACTCACCACAGCATCTACTGACATTTTAGCGACGCTCTGCATGATCATCCACATAACTTCAATTATTGAAGTGAATTATTGGCAAAAGTTATTTCTTAGGTTCTTAGAATCTTATTTTTGTATATTTCAAATACAATAATCATTCTTGTATAAAGTTCTTAAAATATCAGTGTAAAAATGGTGTAATGGTGTAATAATTGTGCTATTTAGGGGATTTGAAAGGATTTCCAACTGATTTCTGAAAAAATCTATTTTATTTACAAGTACCTCTCACCTTACAAAATTAAAATAATCAAATGAAAGTGCCACAAAAACAGTAACAGCTGCCAAACAAAACTTAATAATCCAAAAAGGAACAAAGATTTGAGAGCAGTAAGAATAGCTTGAACATCCCTCCAGTTTTTTACGATTCCGAGATTGTAGATATTTATACAAAATTAAAAGATTTCTTCATGCTAATGCAAAATTGTAATTTGATTGCTAATTTTTTTGTAAAAATTGTGAAAAACATTGGTTCTTAGTGACTGCAAACATTCTCCTGCAGGTGGCAGTATTTCTGACTTCTACTAGATGTCTGCACCAGCCTTTCTTGATGACAAGTTATAGTCTATCATTATGGCGAGTGACAAAAATTAAACTATTTAAGTTCTTCGAAAAATAAAATTGTTTACATATCTATCTGCTTTTTAAAATTATTTTCTTTAAGTTTTTTATATATATGCATATTTTAGAAGGCCTTTAAAGATGAAAAAATTCCAAAAATTGTTGCAATTATTTCTATTGTGGTGTCATAAATTCTGGAGAGTATAAAAATGTCGCATGCAAGAGAATTATAAAGTTAAGGAGTGGATTGGTTGAAAACTCTGGCTTTGCATGGTAAACATATGGTCATTAGGAACAGTAGAGTAAACTGAAGAGTTTTATGAGTGCAATGAAAATGTCATTTTGGACTATGTGCCCAATTCGAAGGGGTTAGATTATGAAATAATGGGCCTGAGGACAGAACCCTGAAGAGCACCAAATGTGACCAGGACTGAGCGCTGGTTAGATAAGACTGAACTTTTTTTAAAAGTAAGCACAACATGTGATGGTGTAAATCAGTCTGAAAGTTGAATTTCCTCAGTGAGTTCATCTGGGAATAAAATCTGTAAACAAAAGTAGCATACTGTCATTCCTTATCAGTCATGATTGTCACAAGCTTCAAAAATAGCAAGATCATATTAATTTAGTTTATTTGCATCATACCATTTCCCAACAAATGTCTTGGCACTATAAAAAAAAGTAATTTCAATTCAGTCACACACATTCTTATTAATTCTAGTTATTCTAGTGGATTAAGCTGAGTTTTGTTATTCCAATTAGTTTAAAAAGTTTTCAATCTAAGGAAAGCAGCAAATTCCACCGAGTCACTAACTTGCAGCATTCACTCCTCCTGGATGAGCATGCAGCAACATTAGCAAGAACACCTTGCAGTTGTAATGGCTGTTTAATTAAAAATATAGAATAACCTAAATTAACTCTTACTTCCATGTTTCTTTACTGACAGAATGACACCTAAAATGTTTTTTTTTTGATTGAGTTGCACTTTAGAAGACAAAGGTTACCGTAGATCATGTTGTGTTCCAGTTTTAGGAAAATCTTCTGTCATCACAGCAAAATAGAGACTGGCAAAATATTCTGAGTCTGCAGTTGAGTTAATGTGTGTCAAATTAGTGAAATGAATATTCATATATAAGGTTGATCCCAAATGGATATCCACCAAAGACATGATTGGGCATTTTAAAACCAGCACAACTGTTGTTTTTATTTGATCACTCCACATATCAATGTAATAAGATACAAGAGTGAATTGTATTGCCTGACTCACATTATATTTTACCTTTTACCTGTAAATCCATCTTAGTCTCCGATGGCCAAGTTTCAGAACGTCTGATCATCTCAACCAGCCAGCATCTTCACTGCAGATCAGCAGCCAGTCGGCGGGCCAGCTGAGCCTGCTGCAGAAGTTTTCTCTGCTCCGCCTGACCGCCATCATGGAGAAATACTCCATGTCTAACAAACATGGCTGGACATGGTATGTAGAAATACAACTAACTAACATAGAAGATAATTTGAGATAGTTTAATCCCACGTAATCACAAAAAATAGGGAATATGCCGTACCGCACAAATGAACCTAAGTATGACACTGTTCATCTAACTGCTTTACAATCTTTTCTCCCAACTATAAAATGAATAATATAGTAAATGTTTTTACATTTTTTCACATTCGAAATGACATAAGTAAGGGATGCATTGAGATAAGACTGAATGTAAATGGAGGCCACGATTTTGTGATTTTTAATTTGTAAAACATTTTTAAAACCATCCATCCTTCTCTTTTCACTTCATAATTATGCTCTGCTTTCTGTTGTTATACAAACTGTAACGCCAACAAGGATGCATAGAAATGTGTGGTTTCAACATAACATAAGAAAAAGAAATTCAAGGGGTTCTTCTTCCTTCTTTTAACAGTCTTTACGAGAGCTTTATTAGATATTTCTCAAGCCTGCTGTAGCCTTTAGCTGTTGGACCATATGGACAATTAACACCTTCATGTATGTCTTAAAATTGAAAACATAGCCTAACATCAATGGGTTTGTCCATGTGCAAGTGTTTGTCAAGGGCTGAGCTTACAAAACTCAGCCGCCATTCCCCACTACCCACAAACTCATCCCTCTGCAATAAACAACCAGTCCTGTTCACTTTTATTGTGCCCTACAGGGAAGTCCTGTTGACCAGTGTGTACATGTTTAGGCTGATAATGAAATCATAGACATCTCTTTTCTCCCACACACTTCCCTAATTGTTTGTCTGTCGCTGGCAGGTCCGTGCCTAAGTTTATGAAGCGTATGAAGGTCCCAGACTACAAAGAGAAGAGTGTGTTTGGCGTTCCTCTGATTGTTCATGTCCAGCGCTGTGGGTTCCCACTTCCTCTGTGTTTACAACAGGCCCTCAGCCACCTCAGGACTTACTGTCTGGACCAGGTTAGTAAACAGCTTTTACTGGACTGCTTGTGTGCATTTCATTCTCTCCATGCCTAAGCTGTCAGACACAAGGCACCATTCCGTCCCTGATTCTTCCAGACTCTCTCCCACTGTCTCCATTCCAGGTGGGATTGTTCCGCAAGTCTGGTGTAAAGTCCCGGATTCAGGCTTTGAGGCAGCAGTGCGAGTTGTCCCCTGACTGTGTAAACTACGACGACCAATCTGCATATGATGTGGCTGACATGGTCAAACAGTTCTTCAGGGACTTACCCGAACCTCTGCTTACAAGCAAACTGGGGGAAACTTTCCTGCACATTTACCAATGTAAGTAAATGTGGAAGTAGATCTCCCTTTAATAAACTCTTTTGCTTTTTTCCTTAAGTACACCAGCCAATAAAATAATTGTCAGTTTTTTGGCTCCTCTTGAAAAGATGCATACAAAACCTTTGCAGAAACATTACCACACAAAAATGGAAGAACACAGACTTCAGTGGGAATCCATTCAAGAGGAGAAAACCCATTCTGTGTTTAAAAAAACTGCTTTTATTGAAATAGTGCAGCACCCAGTGACTCCACTAAAACTAAATTAAACATTGGAGCATTGTTTTATGTTAAAGAGCTACTGATCAGGGCAATTTCCTGGCCGGTTGTGGTTTTCTTTGAGGTCTGACTTTTCCAGTCCAATTATAACCAACGTTTATTAGATTTTTGAAACAAGACAGATTAGCTGCAAGTTCATTGACAAAAGTTACTGTTTTGATTTAAACAGAAAATGAAGAAATTACAAGATTTTTCTAAATTTTTCAACATCCATTGACTGTCATTAATTTCAAATGAATGGGACATTTACACAGAATGTTGTCCTTGATGCATGGGTCATGGGTTCGAGTCCTGGTTTTGGGTCATTTGCTTCATGTTTTCCCTTTCTCTCCTCTTCTTCTTTTATAACAAATTACTGTTCAGTAAAGGCAACTAGTGCCAAAAAATCTTCCAAAATAATTCAGATAATATCAAAGAAGTGCATCAAAGTTCATGCTATCATTTCTTTTTTTGAATACAAATAAATATCATGTTTTCAGAGTTTGATTTGAAACCAACCAGTTAATGGACATATAGCTGACAAGTAGTTGACATTTTCTCATTGCTCAAACTGTTTCTGATCTTTTAGTTAGTAATTCATAACTTTCTGATTATCTAAGACATACATATGAAGGCATACAGAGACAAATTTCACTTAGCCATTCTTCAAAATTATACAGAAAAGAGAACATTGCAATCTCCTTAATAATCCATTATTGGAACAGCATCAAACATATTTACCCAAATGGAGATTACTGCTTCCTACTATAATAAGGAATTTATCTCTAGTCCCTTTTTCCTATTTTAATTTTCCTTCTTTTCCAACAATTAGATGTTCCAAAAGAACAGCGGTTGCAGGCTGTCAGGGCAGCCATATTGCTGATGCCTGATGAGAACAGGGAGGTTCTGCAGACTCTGCTCTACTTCTTGCGGGACGTCACCTCCTTGGTGGAGGAGAACCAGATGACGCCGATGAACCTCGCTGTTTGTCTGGGCCCATCTCTGTTCCACCTCAGCATCCTGAAGAACGAGACGCTGTCACCAAGGTATGCGTAAACTCTCATGAGTTCAAATGGAAAACAAGAAACCTGGTGGTGACCTCGCATTCTTTCTGTGGTTCTTGTCTTCTTTAGGTCAATCCAGAAGAAGTACGCTACAGGCCGTCCCGATCAGAAAGACCTGAGTGAGAACCTTGCTGCCACACAGGGCCTGGCACACATGATCACAGAGTGCCAACATCTCTTCCAGGTCTGGATCAAACTCAGCAGATATTTATTTTAATGCATGGGCTGATATTTCAGTTAACAAATTAAAATTAATTCACTGCATTTAAGGCGATGAGCTAATTGTACTTAAGATTGTTTGTCACATTATGTCATCAGAGACTCAGGCTTTTTGCAAGGAATTGGAACTGCTATCTGGAGAAAATAAAACTGATTACAGTGCATTTTAAGATTAAATATCTTTTTACATTAAAAATAATAAACTTTTAATCTGAACAGAATAGGTACTTCAATCTAAGTTCTTCCAATTGATTTTTAAAATTTTTTACTTTTAATATTTTTCATCTCATCTCAAAGGTGAAGGGGAGAAGTTTTTTTTTATATAACTCTTATACACTATTTATTAAAATTAGAATTAGTTGAGAGTCACTATTCTTTCTAGAGCCAAATATTTCTCCCCTGATAGATATGTTAAAACAAGGGGTGGTCACAATCTCTTACTTGCAACACCAATCTGTACAACTTAAGATTAACCATCTAAGTCCGAGCCAGAAAACATTGTAATCTAAAAGCATTCGCTTTAATATTAAGATCAAGTTTCTTACATTCACTCACAAAAAAAAAAAAAAAATACTTACACAAAAAGATGTCTTTCTTGCTGACATGCTCCTTTCCTCCTCAAAACTTTATGTCATCAGATTTGAGCTGACTTGCAGTTCCTCTTCCTCAACTCTCTCAGTCCGTTCTCCCATCAGTGATGGGATCTCTCTGAAGTGAAGTCCTTTGAACACAACAGAAATGCCCCATAAAAGGCAGTGATGCTAACGCAAAATTCTCATGCTAATGGTGATGTGAAAGATTTAAACAGAATTTTATGCAACATGCATTAAATCTGAGCGCGGGAATATTCTTGTTCTTGTAAGTGTGGGCACTCAAGAGAGGTCTTCTTAATGTAAGAGCAGAGTTTTGAGTGTGTGCAGAACAATATGTGATAAGGAATTGAAAGGATTAAATTAAAAATTCACTGATATTGAATAAACATGAATACTACTGAAAAGTTCATGTTTTTCAGTAACTCAGTTCACTAAGTGAAACACATTACATTGACACATTTAAGCCTTTGTTTTTGCTACTTTTATTGATTTTCCACTTGCAGCTAATGAAAACAAATTTAAGATAAAAATTATTAATAAAGATAAATATTTCTATTACAGAAATGTGGAGTTTATAAATACCTCCTTAAATGTTACCTTGAAAAGTTGTATTTAATCTGGGATCTATGGGAAAACACATTCTAATCTATTGAAGATGACTGTATGCTGTTTTTAGGTTAAGCAAACATGTACCATAATTAAGTAATTAAAATTCCAACTCAATTTTGCATAAAACTAAGCGATAAAAAAGAGAAAAAAACAGAGAAATACTAGTTTTCTTCAAATTCTATCCTTCCTGAGTTTATTGCGGGTTTTTTTTTTGTGACACACCTTTTCCGATTGTTGCTCAGATCCCAGAGGAAATGGTGACCCAGTCCCGCAACTCCTACATGGAGGCTGCGCTGATGGTGCCCCCACTGGAGGAGCTTTGCAAGGTCCAGGAGGAGGAAGATGTGGATGAGGAAGTGGAAGAAGAGGATGAGGAAGCATCCTACAATGCACACATAGAAGGGCTGATCCAGAACTTGCTGAAAGAGGCCAAGGACAAGAGTAAAGGCTGGGTGTCCCGCTTGTCTTCTGACAACACGGAGCTGACATTTAAAAAGGTGGGAGGTCACTCTGTTCCAATATGGTGGGATTTTGGAGACGAGGAGTCGAGAATAAAAAAGATAAGGCAGCAGAGATTAGTGGGACCTTTTAAAAAGAGTCTATATTTATTAATCTCATGTGGTCAACACTGACAAAGCAGAAAAACTGAAACGCGAAATTTTTGAACTAAAAATCAGGAACTTGAAGACTTTCGTTTCAATACTTTCTTTGACATTTTCAATATTTATGTGTAAGGTTGGAGACGGGAATCCTCTGAGGAGGTGGCGAGTTTGTCTGGAGGTGTCAGCGTCTCCCTCTGAGGTCCTGCAGCGGCTTCTGAAGGAGCGCCTGCTGTGGCAAACGGAGCTCCAGCAGGAGAAGATTCTGGAAACGTTGGACAAACAAACAGATGTGTATCATTACACCTGCTGCAATATGGCGCCTCACCCGTGCTATGACTATGTGGTACTAAGGTATGATTAATAACTGCACGATGTGACACATGTGCGGAGACACACGTGGGTGTGTCTGTGTGTGTGAATTTGAATCCGACTGAGTGAATCATATATTCTCAAAAATTGTCACATGGAATGAGTCTTAGTAACAGTTGAAAGATTTTCTACATATCAAAACAAGCATGTATTTAATCAGTTAAAAGCAATAAAATAGAAAGATTGCTCTTTTATTAATCCACCATGTTTAAACAGCAGAGTTAAATGTTCAGAGACTAATTCTGCCTATTTTTTACATGAATAAGAAGTGAGTGTCATGATTATATTTTTAATGGAGTATTGCATGAAATTGACATTTATAGCTTTATGTCATGTCGTCAACAACATACCTGGAGTGTTACTTTGATTCTTTTAAAGCACAGGAAATTCAAAAACCTATGAAAAAGTGTCTTGAATTTCCTGTGGCAGAAAATTTAGAGATGCCCAAACGTTTAGCTTATTTTCAAAAAGCTCTTCTCCTTAGAGCTGCAGTCTCCTGCCGAACATTTGCCTCACAGAGCAGCCCTTTTCGGTGCCTCCCTCTCTCCGCTCCACAAGACTAGTGGCAGCAGCAATGAGCAAACCCCTGATGGAGCTGCATCCCCGTTTATCATAACAACTTGTTCTCAGCCCAATGTGTTTAAGAACAGTTGTTAAAATTGACATAAATACATGATTTGTTTTGTTGTTAACGACACTGTTGTGATGATGTACTGAAGCCGAACTGTCGGAAAGGGAAGAAGCTTCTTAAAGAGATAGATACCAAGAACATGGCATCAAATTGTGAAGTCAAAACTTCAAGTTTGATATGTGCAGCATTTTTATAACAACTGAAGGTAACATAGTAACTTGATTGTGTTATAAAATGGCACCATGTTCCTGGAAAATACACGATACTCTCTTATTAAAAACATTAAACTAGTACTACAAAGAGGTGGTAGTTAAGAGTTTCTCAGTAGATAGATACAATTTGTTTGCAGTTTCTACCGTGAAGCTCTAACCTCATAATCTTTTTACACCATTCAGATCATGGCGTACAGACCTTTGTAAAGAATCCTGTGCGCTGGTGTGCGTGTCCGTCGAGCATGATGACAGCCCACGTGTTGGAGCTGTGAGGGGCGTTGTGCTGGAGTCACAATATCTCCTTGAGCCCTATGGGACGGGGAAGACCAGGCTCACACACATCTCCAGAGTTGATCTCAGGTGTGGAAGGGCTTCATCATCCATTTACAGTCACGTTTTTAGCAAGATTTTAAATTTATAACATGTTAATTTGTTATTATCGTTTCAGGGGACGATCTCCAGAATGGTACAACAAAGCGTTTGGTCATTTGTGTGTTAATGAAGCCCAGAGGATCCGCTCCTCATTCCTCCCAGGCGATCAGAGTCCTGAGGCGAAGAATTGAGCTTCAAACATAATTCTTCATCCTGGAAACCAGTTTAATCACCCAGGCGATCTTTTCTTGGTGCTAAGTTCTGCTCAGACATGGAATCAGTAATTTGGGGCTTTTAAAGATTTATAAGACCCATCCAATATGGGTTTTGAGTAAATTGATTATAAAACAAAAACCGTCAGTGATTTTTGACAGGAATAACTACATACACTAGTTCAAATTATGTGTACATTTTCTGTGATAAACACAAGGTCCAAATTATCAGGTCAGTATTGGTAATGTAATTGCTTTTAAGCCTTGTTCCTGCACTGTCTTAAACAGTTCAGTGTTCTCTGGTTTACAGCCTCGCCTTCGCTCCTCAAAGCAATCTTCAATGTAGATGTGGAACATCTTCCGGTTAAAATTAAGCTTGAACCTTGATGGGTGTTATTATGTTTTTTTTAAAATCAACATTCAAACCAATTTTGCAACATTCAAACCAATTTTTAAACCAATATATTAATGAAAAACAGAGGCCATGCCACAAAGCCGTTCACTTTAAACAAACTTTGCCAGTTATGCCAAGAGGAGTGATCAATTCTCCAGCCAGAATAATGGCAAATAATTATATATTTGTAGAATAAAAAGGGTTGCTCATTTCCAATTTGTCCTATATTAAACCCCCCAAATTAAAATGATGTTAATATCCATGATGAGTAGATGTAAACTTCTGACTTGGATTGTACATTATGCTGACTGGGCACATAGAAGAAAAGTGTTTTTATTTTTATTTCCAGGTATTTTTCGACATAATATTTTAATGTATAATATAAATTATGATATTGCTTTTCAGTCACAATTTCAAGATTATTTCCAGTTGTGAATGTGTTCAATCATCAGAATTGCAATTTACTTTGCAAGTACTTGTAGCTAAGTGCATAATGAAAAGGATGATGTCTTGTAGATAGAAAGCAAATTCCCTATTTATTGCTTTGATTTGTTCTACCAAATACATAGCATTTATTTTTAACATCTTGAACAAACAAAACAATGAGAGATTATGATATAACGCTTTATTCCCCATTGTACTTATCTACAATTTACATATCATGTAAATTTATTTTCAAATTAACTGTCTATGGAAGCTCATATATTATTAAAATAAAGATTATTTATTACTATTACATTTCTCAATATTTGCGAAAACATCACAAGTCCTGCTTATTCTATCAATCTTAGATTTATTTTTAAATTAATCTGTAAAAACAGGTCTTGCTCACCTGTAACTTGACTTTATACCAGTGAACTCTTTACAAATAACATGGGAATATGATGTATCTCCAGCTTTATCTTGATGATATGCCAAATCATTGCTCCATTTGCACTTACAAAAGTATCAAAGTAATTACATAAAAATATCAGAGCTCTTTTAAAAGAAAAACAAAAAACAAAATATGGATACATGTCAGCACTGTGTTGTAAAAAGTCCACTTGTTTCATGTCCACACAGAGTCCTGAACCACATTGAAGGGGACGCAATCACTGGGTCCATAAATGTGTTTTTTATATTTTACGTACGCTTTCACAGATGATTTCCCTTTTCAGTCCCCACTTTCAGTGTTAATCTTATTCAAAGGTGTTCTTTTATCTCTGTATATGGTATTATGGTGGATTTTTTTCTCTTTTGTGTTATACAATGTCTAAGACATGAGACCATTTCACTGCTTCTGGGAAGCATGTTTGAAACTTAGCGTGTGTGCATGGTTGTGCCCGTGTATCTGCATTTCAAACACACTTACAGCCTGTACTGTAAACTCTCTGCAGCGCTCTCTGTGCCATCACAGCTCTTCAGCGTCTTCCTATCATATTGATAAGCTGAAACGTGAAATTTCCACACACCATCCGTAGGGAAGCAATAGAGGAAAACTCGCTCCACTGTGGTACTGCCCTGGCTTTAATGTTTGTTTCCACTGTAGGCAGCATTGCCATGGTGTTGCTATGATATAATATCTCCACAGTGCCACCATAATCCTCGCGTGGATGCCTTTTGCTGGGTGACAGTGGCGCGTGTGCATGTGTGTAAGAAAGGATTGAGAGACTCTGACGTGAGACCTCCGCTGTTTGTGGAGAGGTTCCAAACTTAGCTTAGAGCTGGAGGATTTATGCTTGTTATTTTTGACAGTGACTGAAAACAAAGCTATTGTTTCTAAAGAGGAGAATAAAAATTTAAAAGTGCATTTGTTCTTTGTTTTTTTGTCAAATTCTTCCATGAAAAACAAATGAATATGTGCTATAAAGAACCATGTGTTTTGCAAAGATTTTCATACGTCTTTTATGTTTTGACAAGCTTATTTATTGAATTTTAGTTGTGAAAGGCCAAAACAAAGTAGCCATTTAAAAAGAAAAAAAAAAGAAAAAAAGAAGAAAAAAAAAAATAATATATTATATATATATATATATATATATATATATATATATATATATATATCTATATATATATATATATATATATATATATATATACATACATATATATATATATATATATATTACAAATAAGGAAATATTTAAAAAATGACATGCATTTATATTTAAGGAGAACTTTAAAAAAAATATACCAATCTTTCAACACAGCTCCCCAATATGGAAATGGTGTTGAATAAATGTAAACCTACCAGGAAATTGAAGTCAACCTCACCTGATGAATTGATGGGCAGCACTTCACATCAATGTAGTTACACTATCTCCATGGTGAAACACAGCTGTGGCAGCATCATGCAATGGGGATGAAGAGAGAAGGTGATCAGAATTGATATAAAGATGGATGTAAGTCAATACTGAACAAGCTTGGATGAAAAGCTGTTAGAAACCACAACCCTAAACATACACCCAGACTTGCAATGTAATGCCTCAGATTAAAGCATATCCATGAATGGCATAGTCAAAGTCCATACCCAAATTTAGTTCAAAAGCTTTGCTAAGACCTAATGGCACAATGGCATGAAGCTGCTAATCACATGGTGCTAGCAGCAGCATGCTCTGGTCAAAGCAGGTAGATGCATGCCTCAAATGGTGGTTCTACCAAATACTGACTTAGAAGGGTTGTATGCCACACTTTTCAGATTTTAGTTGGAAATGAAAAATAAGTAAAATAACATACAATTAACATACATTAAACTATGGACTAATTCGTGCTGGTCTATCACTTAAAAGCCCAAGAAATAAAAGCTTGTGAATGAAAAGTGAAAAAAAAAAATTAAAATTGAACAAGTATTAGTTTTCATGTCTAATATTCCCCTTGTCATATGTTGCTGTGTCCATGAAGTGGTGCTCTTCTCCCTCTGCAGTTCAAACGAGCGTGAAAAGTATGCCACAGGAAATATTTTTAGATAACCGAGTAAGTGAAAAGTCCTCAGAATCACAGAGGGCTCTCCTCAAGGACTTTTTATCACTTCCCTTCTTGTGTCCTTTAAAGCAGAGGATGGAGGCTAACTCTCCAATGCTCAGATCAATATTCAATCACATTTACCTGCTTAGCTGAGTTAGATAGATGGTCTAGACTCTCATAAAGGACAAGGAAGGAGTTTGGATCCAGATACCACTCTCTAAAATCTCCCTGCGTGTGAGTAAGCATGTCTTTTTACTGTGTGACAACGGAGAGACATTACTTTAACTTCTACCTCATTTAACATGTCAGTGGTTTATCTTGAAAGTGGGGCACATGGTTACAGCTCCTGAATGTCAATGATGCTCTGCACGGTGGGTGTGTTTTAGCTCTGCTGCTCCACAGGCTCTGACAAATGGAGAACATCATTTTGCAAATTACTCAGTGAAAAAAGAAAGAATCTCACCAGGTGAATCAGTAATTTTCTCCACGAATCAATTTCGTATCTGCATGTGGTTTTTTTTTCTTTTACAAATGCACACAGAACTAAGCAGATGTTGTCTTAAGAAAAACGGGAGCCATCCAGAAGGAGACTGCAGTTTCAAATTTTGCCTGCCGGTGTTTGTTGATGAACTAAAACTGATTATTTTTTTCTTTTTTGTGTGTGTATAAAACAAAAACTAATCTTTCACACGTGACGCGTTAAGATAGAGTATAATGCAGTCTATATTTTGCAAAAGGACTTAAAGGGCCCTCTGCTGGGAACAAAACAGAAATGTAAGTTAAGCTTCAACTTTAAATTTCAAACGACAGAAATGTGAATTAAATATTAACTATAATATATTAACTATTTTTTCAAGCTGATACATAGATGTTTATGATAGCTGTCAGACATTGTTATTTATTAGCTGATTCTCAAGATAAGTTTAATTTAGCAGTACTAGCAGAAGATAGGAATAGAATTAGCTGAAGTTTCCAACACTCATGTACTAAACAAATGACCCCCCAGGGACATGGTCAATACATGCACTTTAGTTTAGTTTTTTTCACAACACTGAAACTGTGTATTCTATGGCACTTGTATTGTATTTATTTATTTATTGGGTAGTATAAGGTTTTAGCTCTGCTACACTGGTAGCCAAGTAACGACATTTCGTTGTCAAGATTCACCTTGTGTTTTTTTTGTACAATGACAATAAAGGAAGTCTAAGTCTAAGTCTTTAAAGGATGACCGCTTTTCATTTATGTTTTTAATTTAATTAAAAAAAGTTTTAAGTAGTTTTAAATATATTCTATATCTGGGAGAATATGGAAAAAAAACATTTGTATTTCCAGATTTTTTTCCTAACTGAATTTGCGTGTTTTGCCCATTTTCTTACAATTATGTTTCTCAAAGGTTTTTGAAGCCTTCGCTAAAATTTGGTATTTCTGCATGTAAAACAATAATAATTATTTCTCTGGAACTAAACTGGAAATTTTAGCCAAAATAATCTATCATGATTCTCTGATCTTTGTGTATTTATTTTGGACTTTAGTTTTTGGATTCAACTGATTGTTTATTGATGTCACTTATTTTGTGCTGAGATTATTGGTTTAGATTTTTATTTTATTGTTTCTCTTTTACTTTTGGTTTAGTGAGATCCTCTTCTATCCCCCTTTGTTAACATATGTGCTTACAAGTCACATTCTCCTGATTAGCCTCACCTGCTTCTTATGTTGCTCATCAACCCTTCCAATAGTTAAAAGCCTACCAGTTTCCTTTTGCTCAGCTACTTTACTTTTACCTTAGTTCTCTAGTTCCAGATGATCCATGTGGTATAAGTCATTTCTTCAATTATCTAATTTATTTCCAGTATGAGCGTTCCACTATCTGAACAAACACATTAAAGCTTTACAGCTGTGAAAAAAATTGTGGAAGCCAGCAAAAGTCTATTGTTTCTGGTTAATTTGATTTGAACACAATTTAAATCAATTTGTTATATCAGCAAGTCAATCCAGTATTATTTCTTTCACTTTGTTATCTTTATCTGTCTTGTTTGCGTGACTTAAAATCTGATCAGGGAGGGAAAACACTGGTGGGACAGATGTGTCCCCTGAGACCGGCTAATCCACCATCTTCTTCCAAACAACCACGATAAGGTCATCAATGAATAAATTAACCAGTGAATGAATAATTAATGGCAGCATGTCAGCAATACAGGTGTCCTTGAGTGTATGTAGAGAAACTCAAAACACAGGAATAACACGAGGAATGATGAAATTCTGGGAAATTCTTCAAAAGTGGTTATAAATAGTCAGAAAACTGACCTTCCACATACACACTTAATGAATAATACACATTATTTAAATATGGAAGGTCTGTGAAGAACCTATGTAGACATGAATCAATATGTTTGTTCATAGTTGTGAAGTTGATCCTTATATTTTGTTTAGACCTGTCCCTTCTATGTATTTTATTTCTGTTAAAAAAGTACCTATTTTCACTCTACATTTTTAGCTCTCTTGCCTACATCCAGCCTATAATTTTCAGGGTAAGTTAATTAATACATTCAGGGTAGGCATGGTGACAAATTGAGTCATTCTGACATAAAAGACATGCATACTTTTAGCCTTCAGGTCATTGTCCTGATTTGATCTTGTGCTACAGCTGTTTGTGACAAGTGAGAGACACCTGAAAATATATGCAAGTCTCACAAAAGTCAAAACCTAGAACAACAGATCTGGCTTCATTGTTTCTCTCATGTGCATTGCTACGTGATGTCTCAATTTAATTATTAATGCCAGCTGGTATTCTGAAGGTTCTCCAAACACCATGAGAAACACATGCACACATTGGTATGAATATGCATTGATTGCAATATGATGGTGTTTTCTTTTATTGCCATGCAGTTTCATGCAATAGGAAAGCATTTTCTTTGCTTTACAATAAAATGGCAAACTGCTAAACAACAATTTTGTAGACATTTAGCTCATAAAAAGCAACAACATAACTTGAAATGGCATCTCCAGGCACCTGAAAACTAGTTTCTATCAACCAATAATAAAATCAGATTCCTCAGTCTCTAAATGCTTAATTATGTTTACCATCTTGAATCCAGAGGTGTCTTTCTACTCTGAGCAGTTTGTTTAGGGTGGTGCTTTACAGCTTATATATAAATATGAGCTTTCTGCTTCAGCTATAGGAGTTGTGAGAGACTGAAGGGCCCATTGGGGCCCATTGGGGGCCCATTAGGGGCCCATTGGGGGCTCAAGAAAGTACTAACATACTAAGCTTGGATTTATGTACTGTGTATTTTAAAATCAGACTGGAATACTTGATATTATTACTCAACTAGGGAATAGCAGAAAAAACCCAAAAGAAAATGTTTGCTAGAGTCCTGTCTTTGCTTGTCACTACTTTAGAATTTGTTTAATTTGTGGCTGGACATAAAGAGTTATTGTATATTTGTGCAATAAAATGTTCATGTTATAAGTGAAATCATCTGCCAATGGATCAATTTTTTTCATCAATATTAAGGAATTGTTCTTAAGTTCTTATGTTTTGCTGAAAAGTTACTTCCATGTTAGATTTTCTTATCTGAAGTGAACCGAGACATTTGCTCTAGAAACTAGCCAGAATTAATTTGTCTGATTTTGTGTTTTTGCAGTGATATTCTTAAATACAATCTGTGAACACAACACAACATTGTTGTTCTCAGCTTTTAGGCATGTCGTCTGCTGAGTATCTTTTCATCCCACTGCCTCTGATGCTCACTCTCTAATTTAGTAAAACATTCATATTCAATATTCCTCTATTCAAAAGCCTCCAACATCCCATAATAATTTACGGTTGTGCTGTGCTTTCAGCTATGA